CTATCTCTTTCTTTGAACTAATTCCACAGCTATAACCCAGATATACATGATATCCAGATTTTGTTTTTGAGAGAAAAAAAAAATCTCTGAAAATCAGAAACTTATTCCATTCCTAGATGCTGTTCTTAGCACCAGAACTATACCCCAATTAAAAAAAAAAAAATTCATTATCCTGATTTCAGTCCCATTTAGAACATCCACTAGCCTGGTAAGCTATTTAATTTTAAATACTCCTAGGAAATAGAATTGACAGGGATGGGGTCACCTTTGAGAAATTTATGGAAATCTGTGAGATGATGCCCTTCAAAAAATGTATTTTACTCCATGTAATTCAATATGATGAATTAAGGATCAATTTTGGAAAGTTGTTAACAAAACTTTCAAATTCATTCATCTCTCAAATTGTTGCATTCTACACAGGTAATTTATTACTTTCACCAAAGGCATCTCTATTTTCTTTCTTGTTTCAGATGAATTGTAAAGAGACATTACAGTAAACATTCAGCTAACATATTAAATCAATCGTGTCATTAGTCAGGTAAGGAACATTAAAACAACATTCTATATATTTTACATGAAGACAAAGAAACTTATATAGTCCACAAAACACAGTTTGAGAACTATCACAAATGCTTTTATCACTTAGGAACCTACAAATTTCTAACCACATGTAAAATCTTCACACAAACCACATGTAAAAATTGTTGCACCCTAAGCTTAAGTAACTTGTGCAACACGGTACAGAATGAATTTGTATACTTTTCTTAATTGCTTCTAAAGCTCCAGGATATACCCTGGAGTTGCTGACTCATCAGCATTTTGATTTATCACCCTATATATGCAAGGCTTGAAGCTGGGTGCTTTACAAATCACAGAGTTATAAAAGATATGATCCCTTCCCTTTGGAAGTTTACAATCTTGCAGAAGAGATGAATAAAATAAATGCAGTGTGAACGGTACTCATCAACTACTAAGGGAGAATAGAAGAGGGCACTTCAGGGTGATTATTCAAATCACAGAACAGGTAGCGTTTTAGTAAAAGAAAATGAGCAGGGATCACAAGACACCTGTGATCAAGATGGTACAACCCGTGAGGCAGCATATGAAATGTGCGGTTAACGTCTTTGAGGGAGAAGCAAATGGAATATGATGCTGGGATAAGTAGGAGCCAGATAAAAATAGGACTTGGCCTTTATCTTGTTAGGCGAAGGCCTTTGTTCAGAATTTTAACACTTCCTTCAGAAAGGTTTATTGTCCTATGGTGTGTAGAATGGGTTGAATAATAAAAATGAAAAGGCAAAAAGACCAGTTAGAAAGTGACGGCAGTAACTGTCTAACAAGCATGAAGTATGAACACTTGAATTTGGAAAACGGCAGTGGAAAGAGAAAGAAATAAACCAAAACTTATAGTTCTTCCTGTTCTCATGAAAATGATTACTGAAATAGTCATATATATCATGTGTTGATATATAAAGGCATAAAATAAAACCAAACACTTGTAAACAGACTTCCAAGAAAAACTTTGCTTAAATTATCACATAAAGTTACCTATTTTACTTTGGAAAAACCATTTATTTTTTTTAATTAAAAAAAAAATTATTTTTTACATTTTTTACAGCTTTATGGAGATATAATCACATACCATACCATTCACCGTTTTGGAAAAACCACTTATAACAACTCCTTTTAATGTATTCTAAGGCAGCATACACCATTTCTTAATATGTCTTTGATTGCATTTTTGTACTATTTTAAAGACATTTATTGTAAATGTCTTAAAAATAAAACTTTAAAAACTACAACTAGAAAATGTCTACTAAACTGAAAGGCAATCTATACTTTGCTACATATAAATTATTTCTTAAAAACTATCAAGGTCTGTTTGATTCATACTAATTTTACGATACCAAAATACAATGTGTATCTCTATATTTCATAAGAATGAAAGAAGTATCTTATAAATATATTTCTCTAACTGATTACCAACATTATTTTTATGACCCAAATGGAAAAATACACATATAAATACCCAAAAGATAAATTACTTGACCATAATAATAAACTCTATGTTTGGAAACCTCATATTTACATGTTACCTTTCATATAGGTATATACATATCAGTTTGATGAATAAACTATTTTCAACTAATTCAAATTATCAAAATGTATTATTATATATACTACTGAAGATCTTTGTTTTCTCTTGCTTTAAATATTCCCTGCCCCCAGAAAATTCCTAAAGGCAAATTTCCAGGAGTGGGGAAAAAGTGTAGTTTCTCCATGCATTCAAGAAATATTTAGTCAATAAATATTTATGAGCTCCTTCTAAATGCCTATCATCAAACAGCAACAATTTTTAAAGGAATAATTGATATACAAAATGCTGTATAACTTGATGAGTTTGGAAGTAAGTACATACTCATGAAACCACTGCCATAGTCAATGCCATAAATACATCCAACACCTTCAGAAGTTTCTTCCTGCCCTCTTTATTTTTTGTGTGATTAGAACACTGAACATAAGCCCTACCTCTTAGCAACTTTTTTTTTTTTTTTTTTAATTTATTTGACAGACAGAGACACAGCGAGAGAAGGAACACAAGCAGGGGGAGGGTGAGAGGGAGAAGCAGGCTTCCCGTGGAGCAGGGAGCCCGATGCGGGGCTCGAACCCAGGACCCTGGGACCATGACCTGGGCCGAAGGCAGACGCTTAACGACTGAGCCACCCAGGCGCCCCGCAAATTTTTAAGTATAAAATACAGTATTGCTAACTAAGGTATTGTGCTGTACAGTAGATCCCTAGGATTTATTCCTCTTGCATAATTTAAGTTTATACCTTTTGACCAAAACCTCAGCTTCCTCTTCCTCCCAATTCCTGGTAACCACCATTCTATTCTCTGCTTCTAGGGAGTTTGACTTTTTGGATTCCTCACAGAAGCGAGATCACACAGTATTTGTGCTTCTGGCTAGCTTATTTTACTTAGGATAATGTCCTTTAGGTTCATCTATGTTGTCACAAATGATGGGACTTCCTTCTTTTTTAAGGTATGGAAATACTGCATCTTCTTGATGCATTCACATGTCGATGGACATGTGGGTTGCTTTCATGTCTTGGCTACTGTGAATACTTCTGAGAAAAATATAGGAGTGCAGATAGCTCTTCAAGATCCTGATTCCAATTTCTTTAGATATATATACCCAGAAGTCGGATTACTGGATCAGATGGTAGTTCTTAATTTGAGGAACCTCCACACTGTGTTCTATAGTAGCTGTACTAACTGAAACCCAGCATTACTCTTGGTTCTTTCAGATATATTAGTGATGAACACAATATAAAAAGATTCCTGCCCTCAGACAGCTTTCACTTTAGAAGAGGAAAATAATCAATAAACAATAATTTTAAAAAATTAATGTCATGGTAGTTTTAAAGGTGATAAGTGCTGTGGAAAAAGAAAAGAGACAGGAAAGAGGGGAAGCCTCCACTCAGAGTGGAATGGTTGCCAGGCAAGGCCTCATTAAGAAGATGCGATGGCCTGGTCAGCAAAGACAGGAACTTTAAATTTTACTACAACCAAGATGAGGGCTTTTCAGCAGAGGGAGGATTTTCGTTTTTAAAAAGTAGCCAATAACATGTACTGTTAGCACTGGATGTCAAGGAAGTAAAGTTGATTTCTTTTAAAAAGGAAGAGGTAAGTACTATAAAAAAAAAAAAAAGAAGTTAGTGAGTAGGACTGTAAAACAGCTATCTCAGATCTAGAAACCAAAATAACAGCTAACATATACAATTACAGCAGGTATTGCTCAAGGAGCCCTATCCCTCACAACAACTCCATGTGTGACCACATTCAAAGGTCAATGGTACCTTATCCACATTCCAAACACTAAAAAAGCTTAAAGCAAGCCAATTTGGTAGTAAAATCTGACCTAAGTTCATATTAGGTAGCATATGGTTCTTGATTTATCCTACTTGGCAAATAATATACATGAAGAAACATTAATTAACCCTCAAAATGTAGGTAACCTTTAAATATCCTAATTAATGAAAAGTCATAGGTACATCTATATGTACACATATAACCTTTTTTTAACTGCCCTATTTTATGCAGGAGATGGTGGAGTTACATCATTCGGGTTATCACATTCAAATTAAACCAGCCATGCTTTAAAAAGAAAGGAAAAAAGAAACATACAATAAGATTAAAATTCTATCCAGCATATAACCTAGAGTAAGATGGAAGATGTTACTCATCTGCTGTTACAGGTTTTGATTTTACAGATTAAAGATATGTATTTTTCATACAAAACATCCCCTAAACATTGGCTAATTGCTTTATCTGATGTTCAACCAAAGAAAATGTTATTTATTCCAACCATGAAGGAAAAACAGGCAGTTTGAGACCCACTCAAAGATGGTAGATTAGAGTCCGACATGGCATCTTTCTATTGGATTTTAAAGGATAATTTTTTTAAAAGATTTATTTATTTATTTTAGAGAGAGAGAGAGCACGAGCAGGAAGGGCAGAGGGAGAGAGAATCTGAAGCAGACTGCGCGATGAATGTGGAGCCCGACAGGAGGCTCAATCTCAGGAGCCTGAAATCACGACCTGTGCCCAAACCTAGAGTCGGCCGCTGAGTCGACTGTGCCACCCAGGGGCCCCTAAAGGATAATTTTAACTAGATATAAATTTGACTAAAGTCTTGTCTTTTAAAAACCCAAGATGTAACTCTATAGCTGTGCTGTCCAATATGGTAGCCACTAGACACATGTGGGCTAGAGAGCACTTGAAAAGGGACTAGTCTGCCTTTTAAAAATATTTTTATTTTTTTAATAATTTTATTTTTATATGTATTTACACACCA